ACCCAGGGCACTGAGTTCCTTCTCTTCCTCTTTTGATCTGAGCAAGCTTCCAGTAAAAACCCATATAATAGGATAAAACTTCTCAAACCTGAAGAGGACTCTAACTTAGCTCAGTGTAGCCAAGCAAACTCATTGGCTCTTGACTTCTAGTAGTCTGACAAGAACTGACCAGAGTAGTCTGTTCAGGCTCATTGGGCCACCTTAATAACAAATTGGCAATTCCAACTCCTGCTGAGGACAGCCCTGAAGAGGGCAAATTAGTTCTTGCTTAAGCTTTTGGGCTTCCCAGTCCAATAGTATAAGCTGTCTGTGATAACAGCACCACAAGTGTGACTTACTCTGGCAACATCCATTGCTTCGGATGACTTGGTCACTCCTGGAAAGTGACCATTTGCCCTCTGGTCATGTAGGTCCTCTAATTTTAGATCGGAGGCAACTGTGTGTCAAAATAGCCTGGGAGATCTCTCTGTTATAGAGATTCTTAATCTGTGCTGCCTAGTATGATTATTACAAGCCCCTTAACTGGTTTGGAGTAAATAATTTGGCATGTGACTCCTGCATTTGTAGTGTTGTTGTTGACTAGACTAACATGCAACAGGGCATATAATTCAGCTTTCAGCTAGGATAGTCTCTTCTTCCAATGTGGGGAAGAAATACTCTTAATAAAAAGAGTAAATGTGTCTATATGGACAGACTCTAGCTCCATTGGTCTCTGATCAACTAACAGTTGAGTGATAACTTCCTAAATGATGCTAGGGTGTGATAGTGTCCCACAACCCCAGGCCCCTAGACTTAATGCCACTACTGTTAAGTGCTGTCAGCACTTGCTTCATAGCATTGTTTTAAAGTGAATTTAAACACTTAAGCACCAGCAAGGCTGTGGGAAGAAAAGTCCAAATTCAGGTGCCTGAACTCCCTAAAATGCATGTTTTGGCCATGGCAGAGCAAAAACTAGAACCAAGACTTCTTTTCTGAAGGTAAAAATGGGCACCAAGCTGAGCTTGATGTCTGTATGGGCTGTAGACATTCTCTCCAGTTATTCCAGTGGACTAGAACAACAGTAGAAAGTTGTGCATGTGCTCTGAACAGCTGTTCTTTGTGCAGAGTATCCCGTTTCAGACCACTAACTCTTTCCAAATGACAGTCTGCTCACTTAACTCTACACTGGAGTGTAGCTTTTGCAACTCTCTTTTTTGGTGGGTTTTTTGTATGTTTCTTGGTGTTCTTTTTTGGGG